TTGGGAGGCTGAGGCAAGAGAATTGCTTACACCCAAGAGTTTGAGGTTGCCATGAGCTGTGACACTACGGCACTCTGCCGAGGGCGATATAAACTCTTCTTTTGAGACTCTGTCTCAAAAAAAAAAAAAAAGCAATGCATGCACATATGGAAGAAGAAATTCAGAATGTACAGGTAGTAATGTTTTTTGGAGATAAGAGTCTCACTCTATTGCCCAGGCTAGAGTGCCATTCTGTCAGCCTAGCTCACAGCAACCTCAAACTCCTAGATTCATTGATCCTCCTGCCTCCGCCTCCCAAGTAGCTGAGACTACAGGTGCCTGCCACACTTCTGGCTAATTTTTCTGTTCTTTTTAGTAGAGCCGAGGTCTCACTCTTGCTCAGGTTGGTCTTGAACTTCTGAGCTGAAGTGATCCTCCTGCCTCAGCCAGAGTGCTAGGATTACAGGTGTGTGCCACTGGGCCTGGCCAGGAACATCCTCTTTTCTACTCCCCAGAGGTAACAATTTAAAAGTCTTGGAACTCTCTTCACGCAGGTCTACATATGCGGTGGGTTTAATGGAAATGAATGCCTGTTTACAGCAGAAGTGTACAACACTGAGAGTAACCAGTGGACAGTCATAGCACCCATGAGAAGCAGAAGGAGTGGAATAGGTGTGATTGCTTATGGAGAACACGTATATGCGGTAAGTTTCTCTCCTACTACAACAAAAACAATACCCCTTAAGTATTAGCAAATAGGTTTATGGAAGATTTGGAAGAGGGAGGTATGAAATAAGTTTCCATTCCTCCCTCAGCTTCCTCACTTCAGTAAACAGAAACAACGGTTAGCGGTCAACTGTGTTTCTTTCATTTCTTTTGCTATCCACAGGTAGGCGGCTTTGATGGAGCAAATCGACTTAGGAGTGCAGAAGCCTACAGCCCAGTGGCTAATACTTGGCGTACAATCCCCACTATGTTTAATCCTCGCAGCAATTTTGGCATTGAGGTGGTGGACGACCTCTTGTTTGTGGTGGGTGGCTTTAATGGCTTTACCACCACCTTTAATGTTGAGTGTTATGACGAAAAGACCGATGAGTGGTATGATGCTCATGACATGAGTATATACCGCAGTGCTCTGAGCTGCTGTGTGGTACCAGGGCTGGCCAATGTTGGGGAATATGCAGCTAGACGGGACAACTTCACAGGATTAGCACTGCGAGATGAAGTAAAGTATTCCGCTTCGACAAGTACCCTACCTGTATGAGCCTCTTCATTTAGCTAATAAAAAGTCTAAGCAATAAGAATTAATTCTTTTTTTAAATAAATGCAGTGTTTAAACTTGTAAGAGTATTGGAAAATGTTCAACTTAAGGGAGCCCAGGGTTGGATGAATGAGGGTGTAGGTGGGAAGGAAGAAGGCAATTATATTCAACAGTGCATAATTAAAGAAGAAAAAATTACACAGTACAAACTACCTCTATAAGAAATATGTTTATTTAAAACTTACATTGAGACAATTAGTAGCTTTAACACAGAACAAGATAGCTTCAGGAACACGAACAAGCTATTTTGTCATGTCTCAAAGTATTCTAAATACTACATTTCCTCTGACATTAAAGGCAGATAGTCAAGATTACACTTTTAGTAGAGTAGGGACCTCGATAACTGCTAGCCCCCAAACTTCACTGTATCAATTCAAACTAAGTATCTATTTTACAAAAACTCAATGAGCTCTAGCACATGGATCATAAAATTGTCAAACATCTAGATTCTAGAGCAAGCACTACTTTTCATGAGTGCATTACATAAGAGGATTAAGTTAACAAGTGCTCTACAGTATGTGCTTCAATGTAAGACATTTGTAGTAATGGTCACATAGAGTAACATGAAATCTCTACAAATGTGATAAAGAGTAGTAATTTGGCTATCCAATTAAATTCTTTGAAGCAACATGACTACCATGTTATGTCATTGTTACTATACTGTATCACTCAACTATGAGCAACTGTTTGTTTCCAATGACCAGAACACATGTTATTATGTAAGCATTATAACAAAACCAAAAATGGACTATTCTGAAGAAAGTAACAGACTGGAGTGAGGAACTGTGCCAATATGTTTGACAGTTAAGGAGAGACTGAATTGTTTCTCAAATATTCTATAGTTAAAGCACCCTATCTACTACCTTCACAGTACTATATACTTTCAAAGACATGAAATGTGGCCAACATGCCCTTCTTAAGCTTCATTTAAGGAAAGTATCAAAAAGTCCCTTTAATTATAACTAAAAATATACAATTCAGCTCGTCTGTCTACTTATAGTGTTGATATTAGAATTATAAAGCAGAAAATGAAGTATTTTAAACATACCACATGCTACACTAGTAAAGAGATAAAGAGGAAGCGTGCCCCAGAGACTGCCTTACCAGCAGCTTTTAGTGTTTAAAAAACGGAAGTGCACAAATCTTCCATAAACACTACCTTTCTAGCTTTAAATCTCTGTTCTACATTAGAAGGTCCGTATTTAATTTTTTGGTCCCAGAAATATTATACAAAACCAGGAGATCAAAACAAACTGATGTCAATGAATTTTAAGTTTTTGGCAAGAAAGTTATTTTTGAACTGGCACAGCAAAAGCAAAGTTGAATATCAAGGTACACAAGACTAATCATGCAAACAATTGCAAGTGAGATGTATTACTTAAACACTAAGCTCATGACTGACATTCTCAATATAAACCACTGATTTTTTTTTTTTTTAAACCCAGTGGAGGAGATATAATTAAGGGATACCCATTCTAAGTAGCCTCACTCAAAGTTATGTATAGTTATCACTTCATGGTACAATTCTTTTCTCCCCCTTCCACCAAATGAAAGCAAAAGCAACAAAGGTTTGCTTGAATACACATTGTCTTTTTAAAGCCATGTTTTTAACTGCTTAAATCACCAAATACAAATCTTTTAAGTGTTCCTCAAAAAGGAAATTTCTTTCCCAAGGAACCATTTTAGGCCTGGTCATCATAATTAGAACCTTTCCAAAAATTCTGGGAAGTTATTTCTAGTTTAGAATTTCAGAATGTCAGCCTTGAACAGATTTAAGCAAATCTGGTTTCTTTCCTTAAAAACAAGTTAGTTAAGATATTTCAGAAACATACATTATTGATGTGAAATCACACATGTGAATTCAAGTATAAAAACTAGAAATTCGGCAGTCAGGAAAACCTGCACACATCATCATGCAATGAAGGACTTACCCCTTCTTTTCAGCCATGGCCTAGGCTGCCTGCTGAGTTAAAACACAATAGTTTCAATCAAATTTTTAAAACCAGATTATACCTAAATCTTTTAATTCTAGCCACATCATGTGAAAAAAGACAACCCCACAAATAACTTGGCAACGATTGCCTCAGAAGACAACTCTGAGACCAAAATACATCACATTCTTCTCGAGAAAAACTGGCATCCTAGCAAGATACTAAATTATTTCAGTATAACCAAGAAAAGGAAGTTTGTTAGCATAGTCTCTCAGAGAGGAAAGAGAACTTCAATGAGCTTCATTCGCTGTCTGTCCTATT